TCCCCCCAAAAAATCCTGTTCACAAAAAAAAAAAAAAAAAAAAAAAGCTCTTCAGAAAAATATTACCTTAACTTCCAGGTGTTAGTCAAGCTCTATCATATCAATCAATGTTCTAGTGTTCAGGGATTTAATAAATGTATATTGTATTGAATCAATCTGTTCCCAGCCCTAATAGCAATAAGGCATATACTGTGGTTTCTTGAATACTCGAATATATCGAGTCTTTCCAAGAAAAGCCATAATCTGTGTTACCCCACATAAGAAAATATAACAAGTTGCTCTATATGTGAACTTCACTTGAAATCACCCAGGTCTGGGGCTTTATCTTTACTTTCTTGACAAGTCATTAGCCCCAACCAATTAAATTATCTTCCTTCGTTTTTTCCCTCAACACACTATTGATTCCATGGGGCGGAGAGGTTAAAGACAGAGAAAAAAAGTCTTTATCCAATAAAATCCAATGTAAATATAAAGCATACTATATATATAATTTTTTTAGTTTACTACAAATGGGAGTATTAGATTGTGTTTCCTCCTTCTATAATTCTGGGCCTTAAATACTGAGCTAAATTCTGGAGATAATCTTTGCTGGTCCTTTAATACAATTGTGATATACATACTGACTTATTAATTGAATACGTTCATGTTTAGGATGAAAATCTAGCACAACTTTTCACATTTTGCTCTAGCCAAGCTTCAAAGTTCATTTTCTTTTAAAGGTACCTAATTAACTTTTTTACTTATTCATGTGTTCTTTTTCCTTGTACTCAAAGCATTTTAGTCAGATAGCTGTTAGTATATTTCTAAACACATTTTAAAACTTCCAATGCTGATTATTTTTATACAAAATTTTATCAAGACCCATTTAGTCTGCAGAATTACTTGTAAAAGAACTATGTTAGCTATTTCAGGAATCTAACTAATACTCCCACCACTGCCTAGTAATTTTTTGAGCAATGTATACATACACTAGGGGATGGAAATTAACCTAAATTGGGATTCTTATAAATGTTCCAATATCCATGCCTATTTATGAGCTTAATATCTTCTTGAGCATCTCCATCTGCATTAGCTACTTTAAATTTTTAGTTGAATCCAGTAACCCATCAAGCAGATATCAAAGTCCAGTTTATGAAATACATGGATGCTTAGATAGATTCCAGACATGAAAACTCTTATTGTTGCTAATGAAATAAAATACTTTAAGAGATTTTAAAGTACTTATTTCCTAAATGTTTTTTCTCCAAACATTAGACCAAGTTGCATTGTTTACAAAAATTTATTCATACAAATTTTACACACTTTATATAACAGTTATCAAAGTCCTAGTTATAGATATCATGTGTGTAATAATACTTGGTTAAGATGTTTTTATAATCAGTTGCACACAAAATAAGAGCTTCAAGACTAACATCTACCTAAATTATCACTATATCATAAATCTGCTCCAGTTTAGTAAGGCTCTTGGCATTTCTAAAAAGTATACAAAAGATTAAACTGGGTGATCACTGTAAAATGCTTGCAACTAGCCACGGGAACACTAAATGAGACTTCATAAATAAAAGGTTAACTAGAGCCCTATTTCACCACTAACAGCTGACACAAATACAGAAAACTCTGCCCATTATCCAAGAAACAAATAATTAAGACTAAAATGCAAGCTGATGTGTTGCAGCATTGTAGGGCCACTAAATAGCCATCTGTGATTCGTGGCGATTTAAAAGGCGAAGAAAGGCACTAAAGCTGCAAACTGCATCCCGTGTCACATTGCCTGAGGAGACTGCAGAATTAAAGAAAGATTGATCCTGTACCCAGGACTCAGGCAGAGATCGAATGCCTCTGTTTTCACTGTTTGCAATGTGAGCTCCTGGCAGCATCCATCCCGCCTGGGAATGCAAATCCAATTCTGTTTTCTTTGATTTATGACTTCAGAGTGGTCAAATCCGTAAAGGAAAAGGAAAGGTCCTTTAAACTTTACAAGCTAATGTTTAATCTTTTTTTTTTCTCCAAAAAAAATTGTGCCTGAAATTTGAGAGATTGGCTGGCTTGTTTGTCCGTTGCTGCTTGATCTGGTTGCTGGGTGAAGGTTCTTTTGTATATAAAGATTACCTTATATGTTCAAGGAATTGACAAGAAACAGACATACTTTCTTTAGCCAATAAATGATACAAGGGTAGATTCTCAGGGTCTGTTGGAGCTTGCTTACCTTACTCTTGACCACAGATACAAGATAGTACTCATACATATGAGATGAGGTTTAAATGATTTATCAGTTAGTAAAACTGAGCAACATGTGAACACTACACATTCTAATATGACAAAGGTTGGTTTTATGAAATATATTTTACTAAGCAATAAGCCATAATGTAGAAAAATACATTTTACCTACAAACTCAATAAAGAAACAAAAGATTCTTATTTAGTGCATAATTACTTAGTGGTAGCTACACAGGGGTTCCTAAACTTTACAATAAGTGCTTGCATCAAACAACCAGAAAAAAAAAAGCATTTACAAGTTTAAGAGAAGTGAATGAAAAATGGTAAACAGTACTTAGTGCAGAAGGTTAGGAAGAGAGGTCTCCAGAAAACCACAAAGGAAAAGGGTAGCTCCTACAGAGCAGGGTTCAAAGGGGAAGGTCCTGGCAATTTCACAAGATGAGAAGCATGGACAGCACTGGAGAAAAACACATTGTACTTTGCATCCATTTCCAATACCCTCCACCCAAAAACAGTCAGGCATCGGACCTAGGTGGGACAGACTTGCCCCCAGCTTCCCAGACCTGGGGCAGTCTCAAGCCAGCCCCTCTTCAAGGTCCTCTTCCTACTGGTTAAATTCTGCCTCTTCCAACACATCTCCATTCCCTTCACTTTGTTCCGATTGCCCTAAACTTGGGATATCAGGTTCCCTGGTGAATCGGGAAGTACAGAAAAGAGAGTGCCCTAACAAGCCTCCCCTCTCATACCTCTCCTCAATTCTTCCCCCCAGGGATTGGTATGAATTCTGGGGAGGAGCACAATTTGGATTGAGCTGTTGTTTTATCAGAATTTCCTTCTGGGCTGAGACTCTTAAGAGAGACAAATATACACAAAAGTAGAATCCAAAAAAAGCAGAAGTATTGGAAATTGCCACCCAGCCAGGAGGACAGAGCCCAGTTTAGTTGGGCTGGGACTGAAGCAGCCTTCCCCAGAGACTTACTGGGAAAGAATGCCTTTCAGCAATTCTCCAAATCATTACCTCAAAATCTCCCCGAGCAGGGCAGGGCATCGTTGTTTATGTACAGTAACAAATGGTCAGTATTAATATCTTCAGGCCTGTTGTGGATAAAAATACTATCCTTTTAATTTCAGTTTACAAAAATAGGAGTAATATTCAAAACAATGATTGTCTATCTTTCTATTTATTTTATATAAAGACATAAACAGCTCAGGCGAATTTTCAATCCTTGTGCACGCTTTGTAAGAATTACTCTCTATTATACTTTTATATATATATACTTAATATATATTTATCATATATATCAATAATTGGTCCACAAAGTATATTTGTGCATTCTCTAGTGCTTTGTAAAAAGAAAAACAATTATTATTATCAAAATATTCATTTAATGGCTTTACTTCATACATAAATACATGTTTGGATAGAACACACGAGCGAGGACCAGTCAGTTTGGAAAACGACTTTTCATTGTGTCAGGGCTGTATACACAGGGTGGCTGGTAACTCATCGCTACAAATACGCTATCCGGCGTCCTTTGTTTTTAACCCTTTGTTTATACCTTTTCCCTAGGACCGCCGCCAAGTATTTCTTGACAGCCATTTGTTTCCGGTAGCGGCTGTAGCTGTCGGTGAAGATTCCGTCTGAGTGGCGCTTGGAGAGGGGCTCCGAGTCGTCCTCCGCGCCGCCGCCTAAGTTCCCACTGCAAGGAAAGGGGTCGGGGAGAGGGTGGCGGGGCGGGAGACACAGGTTCAATAGCGGCGGGGAGCAGGCGGGCCCTACCCACGCGGGAGCCTCCTGGGAGCACACCCGGCTCGCGCTGCCCACCTCGCCGCCTTCCTCTGCCAGGAAGCCGGCACAGGGAAGGCTGAGAGGGAAACCCCTCAGCCCTTCCCTACCCCCACCCCAGGATTTCCCGGCACTGAGTCCTTTCAGAAGGAGCCAGGGATGAGCCCGGTGAACCGCAAGCGACTGCAGCCTAACTTTTCTCCAACGCTGCCCTCTGAGATTTGACCATCCATGAGTAGGCATTAAATGGTCTTAACTGTTCCTCTCACTCCGAGATTAACAGAAAATAGCCCAAAAGTCCCCAAAGCAATGTTAGCTAAGGTCGTGGAGTTTACATCCATCCTGCAATTCCTAGCCAAACACAGCACTCCTCTCCTTCCGCACGCTAAGTTGGGAAACGTGATAATAATACAAGTCGACAGGCTCTAGACAATATTTTTCACCGCATGAATTATTCATTGCGAAAATGTAATCTGCTTTCCCATGGGCTTTATTAAAATGTTGCCTTCTGCCGCTTCATGCAAGCCCTATGCTCTGGGTTTGTCTGGCATGAGCAAAAACTGTTTCCCTAAGTGTCCCCATTTGGTGATTTGTTTATTTCGATTTGAATTTACAGTAAATGAAATTCCCCCTGGAGGGGAGAAAAGGTCATGTTTAGAAAAATTACAGTAAATCCTCCCGCAAAGTTTGAAGGTTTTGAATCACAGGGGAAATTGGGGTAGGGTGGGTTGGGGGAATGTCTGGTTTCTCTTTCTTTTCATTAAAAACGGATCAAATTCCCAGCATCTTCTGCCCTCTCTTCCCTCTCTCCAATCCTGGACTCTAGCAAAATTTAAGAAGCCTCTCCAAAACCTCCACCTGAAGCCGGCTGCAGAAACCGCCAGACCCTGGGATGCAGCGCACCCTCGGCCCCACGAGCACACACCGACGTCGAAACCGCGCCACCGCCTCGCGCGCTCCCAACACAGACACCCACCTAAGCGTGCACGCGCCATCGCTCGCCGGTTAACTCTTTCACAACTCTTACCCTGCGCCCTGGGCCACGAGCGACTGCAGGTACTTCCTGGCCGACAGCTGGTCCAGCACTTTGTGGTAGGCCTTGTTAAGGAGTCCGTGGGCGATATCTCTAACGGGGAGGCAAAGTGTGTGCCCAGAGTCACTAACTGGGCCTCAGTTGGCCCTTCTACTGGGCACGAACCTCCCAACCCGCTCGGCGTCCGGGGAGGCTGATGGGAAAACCCCTCGAGGCACGAACACTCCTGGGATGTTCCCCAGAGTAAAAGTGCGTCCCCACCTCCGGAGTGGCAGACGTGAAGTCAGGGTTCCCCACACTCCGAGGCGGCGCGCGCTCACTGACACTCCCCGGGCCCAGACCTTTTGGTCCCCACGCGGCCCGCCAGTCCACAGAAACCCGGCTACTCATTTTCTGTACCTCCCGTAGGATCCGGCCAGAAAGAGGCTTGAGGACTTTTCTAAAATACAGCCTATTCGGCGGGCCACCACCCGTCCCGTCTTGCCACCCGGGGCGTCCGGCCCGAGACGCAGAGGCCGCGCGGCTGTACCTCCTGTCCTCGGGGTAGTAGAGCGCGTAGGCGTCTTGCAGCGCGGAGGCGGGGCTCTCTGCGCCCGGCGGGTCCGAGTCGTAGAAGTCTTGCAGCGGGTTTCCGTCCTCGTCGTACGCCTCGTCCTCAGGCCTGCGGGGTGAGGGGGACAGAAGGGCTGGTCAGTACAAGTCCCTCCCCAGCTCTGCGAGGACCCAGAGAAAGGGGCTCACATTGCTTGGTTTTCCTGCTTTCAAAGGTCCCCGGGAGAATTCGCTTCTCTTCCAGGACCCGGGCGGGGGTAGAGGTAAGAAGGAGGGAACTATACCAGAAAGACGACCTCGCCGGGAGGCTCGCCCACCCCTCCTCTCGCAAGTAAAGAAGGGTCGTTGGCAGGTCCGTGGCCTCAACGAGACCTGGGAAACCGGGGTGTCTCTGCCGACCGCACACACCTGGCCACTGAGAAGGACCGCCCCCTCCCCGCCCGGCGCCCGAGCCTTCCCCTAGCAGCAATGGGCGGGGACGAAAGGGGCCCCCTACGTTAGGTGCTGACCTACGCGGGGACCAAAGGGGGAGGTCCTGAGGGGGATCGAGATGGTGGGTGAGTGGGGTGTGCCGCCGCCCACTCCGGCAGCCGCCCCTGTCCCAGCATCCCAGCCCAGGGGAGCCCTTCCTGCGCAGATGTAGGTCACGGAGAACCACCGGCTTCTATTTTGGGCCAGAGGAGAGCTGGCAGGAACATGAATAATAGATGCCCCTAAACTTAGCCGATTTGGCGGCGGATCATTCTCCTGTGTCAGTGCCCACCGGTACCTCTCGCCCAGGGAAAGTGCCAGGCACAGGGGACTTCAAAAATAGCTAGGAGTGAAATAAGGGGACTTTTAAATCCACTGAGTAGTTTGCGCTGATCTGTAAACGACGATGCGGACGACGGGACCCCATCTCAATCCCGAGCGCTAGAAAAGGGTCAAAGGAAACCAAGAACCACTGGGCGCCGGCCACCTCGGCAGTTGCCCGTGCCTTCGCCCTCCATCACTGATACAGGACGGGCGCGTTGGGTTGACACACACACACCAACGTCCTCTCTTCGGGCCGCTCAGACTCGGAATTCGGTCAGGGCAAGTAGCCCTGTCTAGGCGGAGTTGGAGTAGTTGGCTGTTACTCCTCTCCCCTTCCCTGCGTCACCGGAGAGGCCAGGGCACCGCAAGCGCAGCCTTTCCTCGGTCACGCGCCTCAGCCCCGGCCAGGGTTCCGCGAACCGGTGGTCGCTGGTCGCCACTCCCCGCCCTGTCCGGCGCCCAAAGGCTGGACTCCTAGTCCCGAAGCCAGAACCCATCTCTCTGGCCTAATCAATAATCCGCGGCAGCCTAAAACCAGCGTTCTTGGGCGCGGCTTTACGAGCAGAGAGCGCGCTCCTCCAAGCCCCGAGCGCCGCAGGGTACCGACGCTGCGCTGGCCAGCGCACTTCCACCGTCTGGCATACGGGTCTGGGACTCTGGGGCTGCCACGGAGAACCCTGGCAACGCCAATCGTAAGAAACAAAGGTTAAGAAAAAAGCCAAGGTTTCTCCATCCTGAGGCGCGCAGGGCTGTCCTGCTGGCGTTCCCTTCCTCCTAGCTCGCATCGGTTTCTCCCCCTCCCTCGCAGTCTCATTCTTGTTCTTCCTTCTCTCAAGTCGCTTTTCCTCAACCATACCTGTCCAACACACCCCCCCTTCCCAAGACAGTTTGAGACTCAAAATGCAGTTGGATCACTTGAAGGGGAAAAAAAAAGGCTCTTCAGGGGAAAGAATGCGAATGAGGTGAAGAGGAAGGGCGGAGGAGAAAGCGAGAGACCCCGCCCCGATAGTCTAGAACGAGCTCTAACAAAGCAAAGTCCGAGGGAGCTTCACGCTCAACCCCGGGCTAGCTCCTCAAGACCGAGCTCTCCTAATTCACCCTAGGAATCGGTAAAAGAAGCCAAGCTGGGGGCCCTGCCCTGCCCCCCCCTCCAGAGGCTTAGGCTGGGAAAGGAGGGGTTTCTGCAGCGGTCGGAAGCTCACTCACTTAACCTGGGTCCCTGGGCTACTTGGGGCTGGGGGGAAGGGTGCCAAGCTGTCGCAGAGTTGTCGCGACGAAGGATCTCGGGTTCATCCAGGGCCGGGACCCGCGGCCCTGCCAAAGCTGGTGAAGATGCACTGGGGACGCGGGGGCGACGCTAGTAGCCTGGACTCGTGAAACTACAGGAGTGTGACTGTGAGGAGGCGTCCGGGGAAGGGATGCCCCAGCTCCAACTCGGTCCTGGAGGCCGGCACCTACCTGATCCCCGGGAACCGGAGTCCAGCGGCAGCAGGTGAGCAGTAGACGCTGCTGTGCATTATTATCCCATAGACCAGCAGGGCCAGCCTCGCTCCGTTACACATGGTCATTCTGCGCAGGACGAGAGAGGGCACAAAGCGGTGAGAACGCCCCTGGCCTTCCACCTTTCAACCCCTACAAACTCCCGGAGATGAGAGGGACCGAGCACAGCTCCAGCTCCCTGTGTTGAACACCACTTAGTGACGGTCGGCGCGCGCCCTGCCACTTCTTCCTTGCTGTAGTTAGGGGGGAAAAACGTATGTGCATATACCAAGTGCCCAGTAACCCGCCAGACCCGGTACGAAGGCAAGCTAACTCGTACCCCAATACTGGTTCCTGCCGAGAGAAGTAGCAACAGAGTGAGTCGTAGTTTGGTAAGACCCCCCTTACCCTGCACTCTTACCGCTGCTGGGAGAGGATATGCTGCCAAGTAGGACGGCGGGCAAAGGGCTTCTTCAAGTTTCTGCACCGGAGTCACAACCCGAGAATCATCCCCGTCTGGCGTCCGTGTCTGAGGAGAAGCCGCAGGATCAAGCAGGAGCAGCAGGAGGAGCTGGAGGACTTGTTTGCTGAGGATAGCGTCTGTTCAAAAGTTTGTAGACGCACAGAACTAAAAGGGAGCGTGACACCCAGAAAAGGGGGCGAGCAGAGGGACGGAGAAGGACGAAAAGAGGAAGCGACGAGCTGGGGGGCGAGGGGGGGGATGGGGAAAGTGGCCGTAAGTCCACCTAGAAAAAGAAGGAGGTGATTAAGGAAAAGAAAGAAAGTCAAAAAAGAAGGGGAGGAAAGAAAAAGAGAAGACCGGCACCGCAGCCGGCCTCTGTGGGAGCCGCCTGGTCAAGCAGCTGCGAGTCGACAGCGCGTTCTCTGCTCTGAGGTCCCTCTAGCTGCGTCTGAAGCTGCGGCTTCTTCTGCTGCTGCTGGTGGTGGTTACAGAGGTGACCGACTGGCCTTCTGCTCGTATTTATATGTGCAGTTAGCAAAAATCTATCCGACCATGCTTTTAGGAGAGCCCTCTTTGTCAACATCTGTCTGCCTATTGCCTTTAAGTACAGAATATTTTGTTGCACTGTTGCGCTCCGATATTTATTCATGAATTGACTTCCTTTTTTTTTTTTCTTAAGTCACGTAATGATCGGGTATCAGAAAAAGACGTCAGTATCCTAGGAGCCGCCTGGTCAAGCAGCTGCGAGTCGACAGCGCGTTCTCTGCTCTGAGGTCCCTCTAGCTGCGTCTGAAGCTGCGGCTTCTTCTGCTGCTGCTGGTGGTGGTTACAGAGGTGACCGACTGGCCTTCTGCTCGTATTTATATGTGCAGTTAGCAAAAATCTATCCGACCATGCTTTTAGGAGAGCCCTCTTTGTCAACATCTGTCTGCCTATTGCCTTTAAGTACAGAATATTTTGTTGCACTGTTGCGCTCCGATATTTATTCATGAATTGACTTCCTTTTTTTTTTTCTTAAGTCACGTAATGATCGGGTATCAGAAAAAGACGTCAGCATCCTAGTCCCTCAAGGAACATATTAACTATTCTGTGCTGTCCTCTTGGATGATAAGATCCGGAGTCATCGACTTCTCATAAACACCTTTCACTCATACAATCCAATTTTTAAGAAGTCCAATTATTTTGTTGGTTTTCAATTTCGCCCATTTCTCAAGGACAGGTAAAGAATTCATAGAATTTCGAGGATAGTAAAAGTTATCTTTTTAACTATATCCCTACTGTTTATCTTTACTTTTACATCAAGATTCACCAATCAGGGCTCTGGTCTCTGAAATTAAGAACCATCAAGCTCTCCTATTAATAAATTTAATTTAGATCTCCTAATTTCTTGCGTATGTTCTTTCAGATAGGCAATTAAATATGAAAGTCGTTTCGTTTTTAAAGGGAAGTCTTGGAGCATTTTCAGTAAATCTCTAATGAGTCTGGCTGTCGTTGATGGTCTGGCTCTGAGCAGATTGATTTGAGCAAACGCTGCGTCCGGTGCGCGGCCTGTGGAGCTGTCCAGTCTCAGGGTGCTGAACTGTTTGGTCGCAGATGTTAAAAACGCTGGAAATTGCCACCGGTTTAATTTTTCACTAGACCCTCTAAAATGAAAATTTGGCCGTAGTGCTAATAGCCTGGCTATTCATTGTCTACATCACCCCGCTGTTCAGATATACTCCCCTTGCATTGTTTATGAAAGCCCCAATGCTTAGAACTGTCCCCATCCCTGAGCAGATTTGAGCAGAGAGCTTTCTGTGTCTCCTGTTAGTTCTGGTTTGGGGATCTCTAGGTTTCCAATTTGTACACCTTCACACTTTCCATGGCTCCTACTAATTTTTAAAATGGAAATTGGAAACTTACAGTTTTCACATGATGTGAAAAAATTTAAGATTTGGGGCTGAGAGATGTTTTCTCCACTTTATTTACAGCTTGAGTTCTTTCTGGAGAAATATGACTGGGAAAGCAGGAGGATTCCCAGTACACGTTCACTTGCTGAGGGTTTCTATCGGGAATCCCTCCGCTGGGAATGGTTAATATTTTTTTTAACTGAAAATGACGTGGGATGAGTAAAGTAATAAGGGAAGACCACATCCACCCTGAGGCTTCTAAAGTCCCTGAGTAATTCAAGAAGGTTCATAAATTTCTACTACAGTAAGAGAACTTGAGTCTATTTCTTTTAAAAAAGGAAATAGAGCCGTCAATAACCATTAGTGCGCATTTTAATTATTAGAGTCTTACACAAAAATTAGAGGAAATGACAATTTAGTAGAAGTGTTTCCTGATACTGGGATTTAGAGTTAACATTTAAATAAGCTTTATTAGTTCTACATGCTTTTTCCAAGATATTATGTTTCTCTTTCTTAATGCCATTCTCGCTCTTATTTGAAATTTAATACTTCCTCTAAGAAGACAAAGTTTAGGTTTTTCTTGGCCATGAATGGTCACAAATTGCCTACTTCTTAGTTTATTCCTGACCATACTCCAGATTGCTTGCCTTCGATAATGCTTCAAAGCAACTACTTCTACATGAGGACATATCTCTGTCTTTCCTGCATGTTTACTGATTTCTGTTGGAACGTTTACATGTGTGTTCTATCTTCAGCCCTGCCTCTGCAGCAAGCTCACACACATAGAGCCTGTGGTGAACACAACAGGATAATGGAACAGAAGCATCTTTACTAAAGTGCCCAAAGCTATTACCTACTCTGACTTTCTTATCTACTGCCTTGCTTCACATCACAGGTGAACCCTATTAAAATCCTTACTCTTTCCTTCTACTCAAATTCTGAAATGCGTTCAATCTGGAGGAATATATGAACATTTCCAAGACATACAATTCACACTTCAGCATTAGTAAAGGGAGCCACCATGTGGGGAGTTTGTTGTCTTCACAGCCTATTAAGGGAGGAAAACCACAAACATGATTAACTACTAAGGAGGATAACCAACTGCTGGCTCCAAGAGCTAGCAAGAATCTGAACTGCATCTCTGGTTTACAAAGGCTGTGGCACTTGCACTCTTCTCAGCTTATGTGCTTTCGGGAGTGGAACTTGGGGTCCAGCACCTCAAAATTGCAGGTCTTGAGGCCTGAACCTATTAACTGGTGTGAAAGACTAAGCAAAGAACTTGATATTCTTGGTCACTGAACTCCAGAAAGTCAAGCTTCAGAAACCCAGCACATTCTAAAGATCCTCACAGCCAGGAGGAATAGATCCTCAGACGGGATCATCCAGAAAATCTTTCACTAGGAATGACCTTCTGTAATTAGGGAAATTTTGTGTACCACAGACAGGAAATCTTTCTTCTTGAAAGATGGGTCCCTGGGTTCATGGGCTGGGAGAAACCAGAAGGGCTGAGATAGAGAAGAAACTGGAAGTTGAGGGCTCCACCCAAAGGATCCAAGCAATTGAGTATCTGAGGTTGCACTCTCCACCCTACTCTCCGGATCCCGCTCCCTACTCCTGACAAATCTTCCAATGTGAGCAGGCCATTTCTGCTTTCTGTTGGGTAAAGAGAAATATGGGATGATCAAAGTCTCAAAGACTAAAGTGCCCCCAAGAGTGCGAATTTGCTGCTAAGTTCAGGGAGGCTCTGGTCCAGAGTTAATGCTATATCCAGGTATGGTCTTTGTGTCTTTGAGGATGAGGGGACCACCATCCCCCCAAAACACCAGACTGAGAAGACCTGAGCCACCTGCACAGGCTCGCACTTATGAGGTGCCCTGGAAAAGGCAAATAGGAAATTTTGCTGTACAGACTTAATTACAAACACAGATGCTGTCCTTGCTTAAAGTACAAGGTAGAGCCTGGACTTCATTCAAGGGACCCTCAACTCTCAACTCAAGCACCCTTTAAGGGGGGAGGGGAGAAAGAGTGAGAGAAGAACTGCTGAAGGACAAGGGGGAAGAGCCTTCCAATTTTATTCTGTTCTTACCTGGTTTTGCTCCCTCAAAATTTTCACATTGTCTTTCTCAACTCTGGTTAAGAGCTTGAGAGAAACCTTCAGATCTCCTACACGTAATTGAAAATGAAGGAAGGGACAAGTTAGAATTTCATATTTACAGATAACATAAAGGAATTTCAAGTCTTCTTTCCAACAGACCAGCTCCTTCCCCATATCATCTGCCAAAAGACATCCTAGACTGGCATAGTTTCTTGCTAGGCTATAAAAGTGAGAAATGTTAAATTATGTTAATGGACTTGAGCTCAGTTAGAAAAAGTTAGAGGAACCACAGAGCTCTTTAGAGTGGAAGGTGAGACTCCAAGACAGGAAGGCCTTGTGGACTAAGCCATGATGTACCAGAAAGGGTATTTGGAAATATCTGTTGGACATTAAAAGAGACTCTGAATTTCAAGCACCTAATCTATCAACTCCTTTTTATTCCATTGGTCTTTCAGATGTGTAAACAATTTATGGTGAATGTAAGAAAAAGCCAAACACTCCCTTAAATTGGTTTTCTTGCTAACTAAGACATATGCATTTGTTGATATTGCGAGTGCTGAATACTTGATCTAAAGAACTCTTTAGCCCTTGAAGAGGTGGGTTTTTGTATTCAAACAAGAGGAATATATCTAGTATATTTATCTAGAGTTTGAATGTGCACACGATTTTACATTAGCAAACACTATATATAGTATTTGTATATTTGTATATAGTATTTGTATTATTTTATCTGTCAGGTTCCTGCTCTTTGAATTGTCTCCACTTTGAAAATTTGCTTTCCCTCTATTGTATGGACACTTTTTAATCCTGCCTGCCTCACCCCCTACCCCATTATTACAAATCAATGATCAGCTGCATGCATTTTTGCCTTTAAAGAGATCAGTGAAGAAGGACTCACTTTCCTATGGTTAAAATTTCTACAGTGTCCTCAGGGCCAGCAGGTGGCATAGTGGTTAAGGGCACTAGACTCCCACATGGTTGACTGCAGTTCAAGTCCCAGGCCTGGTTGCTTGCTTTCTCTCTCTTGCTCTGTCCCTCTCTGGTCAAATTAAATAAATAAAGTTGAATAAAACAATTCTTTTTTTTTAAAGAAAGATTTCCACAATGTTCTTTCTGGCCTAGTCAGCAGCTCATGATACCCATAGTTTCCATATGTTCATGTTCTCTTTCCTCAGCTATGTGGTTCTCCACATTGGTCTTTGTCTTCACTACCTCCATCTCCTACCCCAACACATTTTTTAGTCATTAAAAAAATGTTTGTACAAAGCATCCTCACACATTCCTAGTATAAATAATATCAAATCAAGACTAGAAAATGTGTACATTCTCATTCTATTCTTTTCTAATCAGTACTCAGTGTAAGAACCAGGCTATAGTGAGCTTTTTTTTGGTAAGCAAGCTTAATACAGAGTATCATCCTCTCCTAGAATGACTAAAGTGAATTATAACACTATTCAATTTCACTCTAAACTTTTTCTCTTCTGACTCTTCCAGAAAACGCAATGACTAATGACTCACTTCATACCGATTACACCTGTAGGGAA